CATTTCTGCCACTCGTCATCAAGAGGATTTGTTTTACAAATTAATTTTTAATTGCTGAGAATCTTTTTCTTCACGTTAAGCAATAATTTCCTTTAATAATTTCTTTTCAATGTTATTGTTATCTAAACTTCAGTCAAATTATTCTTTAAAGTGTTTTATTCTTTCATTGTTCTCTTTCTTTTATTATTTCTAATTCATTATAAATTTTTATTTCTTCTGAATATTTTTTCCAAATGTTACTTCCGAATGTTTCTTCTGAATATTATTTATGAATGTATCTTCCAAATGTTATTTACAAATGTATCTTCCGAATGTTGTTTCTCCTTATTATTCTTTAATATTTTTCTTAATACTTTTATTTATTTCTCTTCATATCTTTACGTTTAAATATTCTTTAACTTCTGTCATATTTTATTATTTCTTTAAATTTTATTTCTGCATTACTTCATTAACATTTTTCTAAAATTTAGATTTATATACAAGTGAAATAACTTTATTTATTTCCATAATTTATTGTTCAACAATTAATTATTTCAAATAAAATATTCATTTTTATTTGTGTTAAAAATTTATTTATTTAATAATAATTTTTTTTTTTATTTGTGTTTTGGGAAATTGAATTACTTGGTTTCTTGAAGGAATTTTAAGCCTTTATATAATAAAATTCACTTCGTAATACTCATTACATGATTTTTACTATATGATTTTCTATTATAAGATTTCTATTTTTACTATTATTTCTAATGTTCTGTTGTTCATTACTAAATTCTGTATTTGTATTTGTTTACTATTTATTATTTACTGTTTACTATTTAATTTCATTCCATTATATTAATTCATACTTCCGTTATATTAAGTTTCATTTGTTTTCCTTATAATCATTTAATATTTTTATAATAATTTTTCCTTCTTACTTTTTCGGACTTCTGTCTTTCTTCCGTACTTTGTATCATTATTAACTTCCATTTTTCTTCTGATTTCCTTTCGTTTATGATATCATGTGTAACTTTTATGATACACAAGCTTTCATGTGGTCTAGTTTGTCATTCCTAATGATTGTGCCTTTTATATAACCTTCTTGCATCTTCATGTAACTTCTTCAATTTGTTATTTTTCAAATATTTTTCCAAGTCTTTTTATAAGACCTTCTGTTCAGTTGATTAATTATACTTTTTCCTTGACATCCGTTCGGTTAATTAATTATTCTTTTTCCTTGATCTCCGTTCAGTTAATTAATTATCCTTTTTCTTTGGTAACTAATTTATCTGAATCATTTTCTTCTGTGATTTATCTATTTTATGTAATCTTCCTTTTCGGTCTGTAATTTATCTGAGTATTATTCTTTCTTTAATAAAATGATTATTTCTCTTTTATCATATGACTTTTTTTTGTAAGTTTTACTGTATATTGTTGATCATTTCCTTTTGTATAGTTGCGCCTAAATTAATGAAATTATTGACTCTACAACGTGCAGAATATGGAGGGTATATTTAGCATTTAAATCCCAAGCTTGATACTAGATAAGAACATGCATTTAAAAAGGATATGCATATATAGAGGATGCATTTAGAGAGGTCTGATTAGTAGTATTAGCTGGTGTAAATTCTGGAGTTGACTTGGTCAGCCGTTAGATATTGACAGTCGACTCAGCTACAAATGGGTCATAATTCTAAATCAGTTAACTCAGCTGTGACTGAGTCGTGACTCCTATATAAATTCATATTATAATTATAGTATATTGCAACAAATGATTTTATTATAAAAAATTAAAGTTGGCTCAGTTCGTGAAGTTAACATATTTATTTTCCAATTTGTAAAAATCAATATTTATTATATATATATACAAAATTAATAATAAAATACGTAAATATTATATATTACTATTAGTTAAATGTAAATTTTCTATTAAAGATAAAAGATTATATACAGATGAAGAAGTAAGGTGATTTCATTTTTCTGTAATAGTATTTCCAACTGTAAAAAATAATCTTTTGCAAGATATTGAAGTAGAGAGAATTGCAAGATAAATTCTTGCTTGATGTGCTAAAATTGGATATAAATTTTGATTAACCTTCTACCACTCAAGTGGGTTATAATCTTCAAATATTGAAATATTTGAAAGTTCAATATATTTGTCTAATTTATTTTTATTTTTCAATTTTGAAAGTGGTGTAATACCGAAAAGTAATGATAAAGCAGAAGATTTTAAAGTAGGACTACTACTTAAAGAATCTTCATTATGATTTTGTTTATGTTAATTAATTATATTTTTAAAATATATATGTACTTCTCGTCGTTGTGATGATGTAGCAAATGTTAAATCTTTAAATCTTAAATCTAAAAATGATGCAATTAATCCAATTATTCCAGGATCGGCCTATTTATTTTCCATTGAATTATGTATTTCATTACAGACCTCTATAGCTTCAGATATTTAAATTTTTTCTTTATTGATAAAAGGTGTTGAAAAAGATTACTAATAATAGAATAAGTTATGCTTAATGTTGAATAATTACTCCCACCAAGTATTCCTGTTGCTGCAAAAAATTTCTAAGTAATACTATTAATTCATTGATTATATTCCATTGATAATCATCGAGAAATAAACTTTCTAATAAAAGATTATCATTATAATAATTTTTAATTGATTCATTTTTAATGCAGAAATTAGAAGTTTAATTGCACCTTTAAGATCATTAAAATGACATATTACTTTAAATGTTGAATTCCACCTTATAATTACATTTCTAATTGGTTCAACAATTTGATTAGATGATTTATTTTAATTTAAATCATTATCAAAATCAGTATTATTAAAAGATATTGGTTCTATTACTTCAGTATTATAAATTTCTTGCATTTTATGAAGTTGTTCACGATGCTTATCTTTTTGAATTAAAAAATTATTAGGCTTTGAAATTTGTAAAAGGAGTTTATCAATTTTTCCTAGATCTTTTTTAACTGATAATTGTATTGTATGTGCTGCACATCAAATGTGTTCATCTTCATAATCCAATTCAATTAAATCTGACATAGCTTTTACAACATTTGGAGAATTATCACTAATACCAGCAAAATACGTTCTTTAAGTCCCCAATGATCAAAAGTTTTAACAAGTTTTTCTGCAATATTTAAACCAGTATGAGGATAAGGGATTTCTTCAATTGTTAAAAGAGCTTGCTGAAGTTCAAAATTAGGTGAAATCTAATGAATTATAATACCAATATATGGACGATGATAAGCTATCCATTTATCTGTTGTAAAATTTACTGAAATAATAGTATCATGAAGTAGTTGAGTAAGCAATTGTTGCAATTCTTGAACATTATTAAAAATTAATCCTTTAAATTTTGAAATTGATGGTAGAATATATCTTTTATTTAAATGTGAAATAAATTTGCAAAAGTTTTTATTAACAACTGTAGAAAATAGTTGTAAATCATAAACAATCCAATTAATTAAATTTCAATCTATTTCATTTGTGTTCCATTATTATAAGGTTTTGCAATTTCAAATGAAGAAGGAATTATTGATTGAATTAAATCTTTTCCTGTAGAAATGTCGGCTAGATTTGGTAATTTTGCAGTATTTTTATTAATTTGATGTTCAGTACGCAGATGACTTGATAAATTTTCAATACTTATTTTTATACTAAATAATCGCCCACAAATACCATCACTTGTATTGACAAGACATTTACTTTGTTCTCTATGAATTCCTTTTTGAATATAATGCCACACCCAACTTTTAGTTCCTTTTAATCGTTTTGCAGGATAAACAATAGATTCAGATAAATTATCATTGGAATGAACACTATCATTAATATTTAAATTATCTGATTTAGAAAATTCTGTTTCAATATTTGAAGAATCATCATCAGGTTCAAATTTTTTATTAATTTTATTATATGTAACTTTTGGTTTATTTTTGCCTTTTAATATACACTTTATAATGTGCGAAATAAAAAAAAATTGGCTTAATTGTTCTATCCATTTTTGTAAAATCCCTAATTTTACATTGTAACGAAAATGTGTTAAATTTTAATTTGTAGATCAGTTTCCAGTTATGTGTTATAGTTAACAGTCATCAGTCACAACTCAGTTATAGACCAGTCATGACTCAGTCGCAGCTGAATCATGGCTCAGTTACAAATCAGTCACAGAGTTGACTCAACTTGATTTTAACAGAGTTGACTCAGCCGTTGACTCTGACTACAATGGCTGATACTACTAGATCTGACTGTATAACGATTTCTTATTTACAACATACTGTATATTAAACGAAATAAAATAAATCAAAATCTATCAAATGCATCATTAAATAACCAAACCATTAACTTTTTAACTCAAAAAAATGATTCATCATTTATACCATAGTATCCATCTAAAAAATTAATAGAATTACAAGAAGAATTTATTAACAAAATCTTATATGATCATCACTCAACTCCTTGTGCTTACTATTCAATACTAATGATTAACTCATCTATCAAATGAATAAACTATAATCCTAATAAAATATACATACTAACAATAATCCAATATTCTTACATTACAATAGAAGACAAAGAAAAGTTGCCATCTGCTCTTCATGCAAAACTCCAAAAAATCGCAAATTTCTACCTATCTTAAGCCAAATATCTAAATAAATTAACGCTATTCCTATGGTATATCGAAAACAATTAACATCTATTTATATGAGTTGCTCTTTAGAACGTACTACAAATTTAAACCCCTATACAAACTATCATCATCTACAAGTTTTCATCAGATTATCAAAAAATCAAAATGCTTTAGAATTACACTCAGGTTTTATTGGAGCATTTTTCAATTAAAATAAACCACTGAATTGCTTTCACAAACATTAATTAATGCAAGTCAATGTTAAAACAAAACAATCCAATATTTAGAGAATACATAAAAATAAACCATATAATACAACCTTCACTAACGATTGAGATCCCAAAACTATATCTTACTAACAAACCATTTAAAGATTACGCACATGATAAAAATTCAAAAATTTCCTTATCAATTCATAATAATTAGGAATATCCTTAATAATCATACCAAATAATGATTTTTCAATATAAATACACAACGAAGACTATAGATATAAATATTTAATAGCAGAATTCATTAAATTAAATGATGATTTTACACTATTAATAGCATATAATAATTCAGATTTAGAGGCATTATAATTTACAGACATATTCATCACAGGATATGAACATTATGAAAGTATAAAAAGCCATTAGAATTTAAACAAAATACTGATAGTTACGGGAAATATGTGAAATTGAGGATATTATCCCAGATTCAAGATTCAGATTACATTAGTATTGGCCACACTGGTCATATCTAAATATAGAAAAAAAGCATAACTACCAAAATCAAAATAGAATTCTAAGGCAAAAAAACATATCTCGTAACTCGCATCCATACTTAATAACATCAAGTGTTTACACAAACAGATCAATAATAAATGAAAAAATAATAAATACTTTACCATCTCATGTTCGAACGTCTGAACCATTCTTTAGAAGCATTCTTTAGAAATAAACAACAATAAGTTAACATGATACTTCAAGTTTTTGGTTTACCACAAATTTTCTATATAATGATAATTGCAAAAAGCAAATGGATACATCTAAAAATAATCTTAGAAAACACAGATAATAAAGATATATTACCAACCAATAGACCATTGCATGTTTATATCCATTACCATAATGAATTGACTAATCTATGCAATAAACTCTGGAAATCTCCAGAAAAAGTACAGTGGGTTGAATGTTTACATTACTTCAAAAGAGATGAATTCTGAAATAGAAGAACCATCTATACTTACGATTCGCTTATACTAAAAAAAGATTTCAGAATAAATTGCATTAAACACAATACGCGCTGATATATCTGACCAAACACTAGAATTGGAACCCTATCAACTTGTATTAATATATTAAATACATCATTGTGATATAAACAAATGCAAAAGACAAATACAGATAACTAAACATGTAAAAAGTATTCTCGCAACCTCTATAAAAGTACACAATTGCAGAACAAACTCTAAACAATATACATATAAAAGAATGAAAGAAGCTGACAGTAGGGTAGTTCCATATCATCCAGAAACATTAATGCTATGGTAAGTATATATAAATTTTCAATACATAACTACGCTTGGATTTGGAAACTACATTACAAAATATGCTACTAAAGCTGAATCTACTGAAATATTGATATTCGGGATGAAAATTCATACCGAAAATATGTACAAGCGAGAAAACCAGGTGCAATAGAATTAATGATATGGGTTATGATCTAAGAAAATCAAGTTCTGAGAATTTTTTATCAAAATTGAGGTTTTAATTGCATTTTAATTTT